TTCTAAGGCATGAAAAAATCCCATATAGGTTTCTATGAATTTATTAACGAAATCAACTGGTAACTTGCGTGCGTTTTTGTGTTAATTAATACCAATAGTGATTATGATAATTTTATAATTATCATTTTAATGAAATTGTGTTCTTCACTTCGCGAAAGACAGCAAACAATTTAAAATTACCGCTAGTCAAGCACCTGAAAATCCATCTCTCCCAAATATGTCTTTCTTGGCACGATTTGTAATCCGAAGTCTCCCTCCACATGCAATTTTTCGTCGCCTGAGAACTTGTTGGATCTACAGACCAAAGCACACTCAGGCCAATATCGGCTTTAAGCGATTCATCTATAAACCGATATTCGTTAGAGTTGATCTGATACACATCCACTACGAAGAACTAACCCATTTCGACCATTACACTCAAATTACACTCAGCAAAATTTGTCACGAACAATGAAATGACGCAATCTCCAAATTTTACAATAGTAAAATTGTAGTTTCGCCCCGTTTACGGTCTATGCATCCGTGTCGAGTTTTCACCTTAGACCTCAAGATTTTTGGAAAAAAAAATCAACATTTTCCAATTTATAATGTTATTTAAATTTTAAAAAGTAGAATAGTCCTGATCTTGTGATTTATACCTAAATACGCTATTGGGATTTTTCGGCTTGTCGATTTCTCGATTTTTCAACTTTAAATGTCTCAATTTTTCAATGTTTCAATTTTGGGCTTTTCCGATTCTTCCATTCTTTAAATTTTCTATTTCTCCATTTTTTTATTTTTCGATTTCTCAATCTTCCGATGTTTCAATGATACGATTTCTCAATTTTTGTCCTCTTCAATTTTACGGTTTTTAAATATTTCGATTTTTCAATTTTTCAAATTTTCACGTTTCTAAATTTTCAGTTTGCCGATTCCCAAAGTATTTTTTTTATTTGTCCATTTCTGGGCTTCCTAAAGTTTCGATTTTTCACATCTTCAATTCTTCAATTTTTCGATTTTTTAAGATTACGATTTTTCAATTTTGCTTTTTTAGATTTTCGATTTCTCAATTTTCCAATTTTTTAATTTCTCAATTTTTTGAATATTTCTTTCAGTTATGAGATTTTTCAATATTTCAATTTTTCGACTTTTCGATTTTTGAATTGATGGATTTTTTTTAATTTCTCGCTTTTTTACTTTTTGGATTTTCAATTTATTGTAAACTTTAGATTTTTCAATTCTGTGACTGTTTAATGCTTCGATTTCTCAATTTTTAAACTTTTCGATGTTTTAATATTTCATTTTTTAAAATTCTAGGTTTTTCGATATCTCGAGTTTTCAGTTCTTCTATATTTCAATTTTTCGATTTTTTGAATTTTAATTTTCGATTTTCCAGTTTTTCTTTTTTAAAATTTTTCGATTATTCAATTTATTAATTTCTCAATTTATCGAATTCAGATGTTTCGTTGTTTTGATTGTTCAATTTCTCAATTTTTCAATTTTTAACTTTCCTTTTCGGCTTCCGATTCCTCAATTTCTCGATCCTCCGATTTTTCGATTTCTCGAAGTCTTAATTTTTGAATTTTTCGATGTTTCGATTTTTGAATTTCGCGGTTTTTCGATTTTTTTCTTTTGAGCTTTTCAATTTCTGGATTTTCCAATTTTTCAATGCCCCGATTTTTCAATTTTTCAAATTGAATTGGATTTCTCGATTCTTCAATTTTGCGATATTTTAATTATTCATTGTTTTAAATTTTAGTTTTTTCGATTTCTCGATTTTTTGACTTTTCAGTTCTTCAGTATTTAAATTTTTCAATTTTTCAAATTTTTGCGTTAAATTTTCAGTTTTCTGATTTCTCAATTAATCTATTTTTGATTTTCCCACTTCTCAAAGTTTCGATTTTTCAGTTCTTCAATTCTTCAATTTTTCGACTTCGCTTTATTGGTTTGTCGATTTCTCAATTTTTGGATATTTCTTTCAGTTTTGATATTTTTCTATACTTCGATTCTTTCATTTTTCTACTTCTAGATTTTTCTATTTTTTATTTTTGGATTTTCGGTTTTTTGTTTTTTATTTCAATTTCTCAATTTTTCAACTTTTCCATATTTTAATTTTTAAATTTTTACATTTTTCGGTTTCTCGAGTTTCCAGTTCTCAACTTTAATTTTTTAAATTTCCGAATTTTTAAATTCTTTGAGATCTCAATTTATTGAGATTCGGATGTTTCGATGTTTTGATTATTTAATCTCTCGCTTTATCAATTTTTCCAAATTTAAGTTTTCGATTTTTCGATTTTGGCCTATTTCGGTTTCTCAATTTTTTTGATTTTTCGACTTCTCGATTTTTCGACTCCTCGATTTTTTTGTCTTTTGATTTTTCGATTTCTCGATGTCTCAATTTTTGAATTTTACAATGTTTCGATTTGTTGGTTTTTCGATTTTTTGCTTTTCGGTTTCTCGATTTTTCGATGTTTCGATTTTTGATTTATCCGATTTTTCAATTTTCCAATTTTTTAAATTCTCGACTTCTCGATTCGTTGATTTTTCAGTTTTTCGATTATTAAATTTTAGATTTTTTTTTTGATTTTTTGATGTTTGGATTTCTCCATTTTTCAGTTTTAGGATATTTTAACTTTTCAATGTTTTAAATTTTAGATTTTTCGATTTTTCTGTTCTTCAATATTTTTTTATTTTTCAAATTGTGACGTTTCTGAATTTTTAGTTTTCGGATTTCTCAATTAAGCTATTTTTTTATATTCCCATTTCTCCACTTCCTAAAGTTTCGATTTTTCAGTTCTTCAGTTCTTCAATTTTTCGATTATTCAGGTTTTTGATTTTTCAATTTTTCGATTTTTTAAGTTTGCGATTTTTAGACTCTGCTTTTTTGACTTTTCTGTTTCTCAATTTTTTAATTTCCTAATTTTTTGATATTTCGTTCATTTCGTTGTGATTTTTCAGTTTTTCGATTTCTCAATTTTAACTTTTCAATTTTTAAATTATTAACTTTTTTCGATTTTTTGAGTTATTCTGGAGGCAAATTAGATGACTTGTTACTTATTAATTAAAGTAGTGGTCGTTTAATTTCTTACCTTTAAAGTGGACGAAGGGACGCATATTTGTTAGCCATGTAGTTCATGGATTAATAAATAATATTAAATTTTTGTTACTTTAACCTTGAAACAGGTATGCACTACATATACATATATTACATACAGTGCATCTTTTTTAAAAGTGGCCATAGGGATTCCCACGTTAAATTTTAGACCCCATGTTAACTTTTGTTAGGGTGAAAACCCAGAGATGATTTTTGCGGAGAAAATAACCTTAGGGTTCTACTTTAATTTTCAATACCACTTTTTGCAATAATTTTCTAATTTGTGCTTTAAAAAATAAAAATTATTTTGATTAAAAAAGTTTGGTAGATCAAAGACGGTTTCGACTTATCATTTTAACTTGTCATTTTTGACAGCATAATTTTGATTTAATTATTATTAAATACCTTGATTGCAGTTTTTAGAAAAGAACAGAATGATGGAATTCAAACATAAATGAAGATAATAAAAGATAATTTCACTGAAATTGGGTTTTTAATGTCCAAGATCGAAAAACCTTTGTTTATAAATCTGCTACAAAATTTTCAAAATGCAAAAAAATTTTGCGGAGTTTCTCTGTTGTCGATAAGGCTTTAATGTATCCAACAATGACTATTTCTACTTTTTCTTTAATTGTGTACTGCGGCATGTTGACGAATTTCGGTCACTAAAAACCAGTAATTGAACGAGTAACAAAGTTTAGAAACGTCAGGTAAATGTCTGTTTTACATCGCTGCCTACAATATTAGAGAACAAAAATATCCAAATATTTTAATTTTTTTAAAGAAATGTCCTTTAATTTAAAACATGATTTTTAATAAAATCGACTAAAGATAACTCAAGTTACATCCAGTAAAAATTTCAGCTCTAAATCTTTACTCAAACATAAGTTAACATGGGATATAAAATTTAACATGGGAATCCCTATGGCCACTTTTAAAAAAGATGCACTGTATATGTAAAGTCTTCAACACGTACGTTTGCTTATTTTGTGACTGCTCCCCGTACAACGTACTGATTAATACGTCCGTTTACTATCTTATCGACATCACGTGCTTACGGACTATTTTTACCCCCTTTCGTAAGGTACCGCCACTTCATAGTGAAGCGAGTGAGATGTAAAATATATATTCATTCTTTTCTATATGGGAAAGTGATTGTCCGTATAGGTTGTCCAACTATAATATATTTAAACAATGGTAATAGCTAAGTTTGACCTTGCCTAACCCGACGACCATCCGCAAATGCAACATATTTTTGGTTATTATTATTTTTTAAGAGAAAATTAATAACGTCGCAATTTATATAAATTGACAACGAAGAGTTAAAACTGCATCCGTGCGTCCCTGGGCCGACGCACTCTTTTTTCATTTTTTTAAAGAAACGTCCATTATATTTTATTTCCTCATTTTGTTTGTAATTTTTTAGGCTGCATTATTTAATTATGGTACCTTTATGGATGTATCTCTGGGGAAAATATTGTTCACGTTATTTAGATTCTTCCTTTAAAAAGGGTTTGCTTTGCATAAAAATAATCTTTTGTCGACAGGAACGCCAGTCTTTGATGTCGTACTACAAAACTGTGGACTGACGTGTGCATAAAAATCACATTTAGAGTCAAATTCCGTCATAAACCTTTGTGTTTACTTACCTTAAACGACTTTTTAAAAATATTTGCTCTCTATCACGTAAAGTTTTTTTTATTTTGGGGATGCATCTTCCGATTTGTTTGCGCGAGTGGTTACTCCTGATTCACTTCTGGTGTTCGCCAAAATTGCACTTACGCTCCCGCCTGAGCAAATTCTCACCCCCGTTCGTACCTTAGCGGCACGCAAAAAGCGAAAAATCTCGAGGAAATTAATTACCTCGCAAGAATTAACGCATTTGGTGGGTCCTTTTAGCGGTTAATAAATCACGCTGCGTACTTACATCTAACCCTGAGGATGACGGGCTCGCTGACAGTTTCCCCGCGGGGGTTGGCCGCCAAACAGGTGTAGGCGCCGCTCTGCCACCTGGTGACCCTCTGCAGCACCAGACTGTGGGTGCTGATGATGACGCCCGATGACATGTTCTGACTCACCAGCGTGCCCTGTTGACACACATCATGCATTAGTCATTATTAAGTCGGCAGGTCGATACGGGGGTTAATAATCAATTCATTACAGCCCCGGTAGATGTCGCAATGAATTCGCGCGGGCTAGATTTATCGCAACACATGCTAACTCCTAGAAGTGCATTTTCTATTCAAACAACATCACTCGGTCTTTATTTCACTGTTAGAGAGTAATATTTCCTTCACGCCAGACCGTATCAAAGTAACGACCCGTTTGGGGTTCGATATCGGAATGTATGTTTACACAACACTTTGTTGCGATCTATGGCTCGACCGACGCGCTTTTAAAAGGAAATGCAGAGTACCACTAGCCGCAGAAGTTCGAAACGTTTTTTCGATCTGGTTAAATATTTGCACACTCTCACGAGGGACTGATTAATAGTTGCTTTCATTAAAACACGATCACAACTTTTTCCCCCTCGATTCAAATTAATTGTCTCGCGTACTTGCGAACTTTATGTGGAAGACCATAAATCAAAAATAATAATTTGCCTTCATCAAAAATTAATTTCCACTCGGCACCTACTAAAACGATCACTTTGATAACTACCGGGGGCGGTGTAAATTCGCAAAATTACTTGCGTTAACGTCTCATTTTCGCTAATACGGGAGTGCAGTGTTTCATTAAAACGACGCCCATTACCCGAGATCTCAAGCAAGATGTTTAATATTCACTTATTAAGCTTTCTATGCATATTTTTCCTTAATGAAATAACTGCACTTTTATATTCCAGCTTGAATTAGACCTTGAGCTGATCAATTGGCGTCGAGTTTCCTAAAAATGTTAGCCGTCGCTCAGTGGCGTAACAATAAATCTACGGGCCTGTGTTCTACAACACTGTGGGGCCCCTAATGAACAGCGAAATAAAAATTATTTAAAAATACGAGTATAATGAGTAAAGTATGAGTATATTGCAATTAGGGCTTACGTTTTACTAAAATCATTCTACCTGAAACACTGCATTAAAAAACAAAATATAATAACTACCTAAATACATATAATTAAAATGTATATTAGAAATAAAAATGCCCGTTTTTTTATCTCAAAATTGTTTTTTTCTTGCTTTCCAATGGGCACAAGTTGATACAAGATTTGACACATCTAAGCTTCTGGCAATTTGATTTTCAAGTGAGATAATAGGCCAGTGAAGATAATCTGCATTGGCCCATTGTGTTACTTAAACAAAATTTAGTCATTTTTAGTTTCGAAAAAGATCTTTTCGCTGAATTGACACTAGATTTACCAGAATATTACAAGCTGATTACTGTTTCCTTCACTGTAATTCAGGTCACACGAATTACAGTTCGTCGTCTGAGAACTTGTTTGATCTACAGACCAGAGCGCACTCAGGCCAATGTCGACTTTAAGCGTTCGCAAACGATTTGATTTATAAGCCATGGTCCGTGATCTGATATACATCCTATACATCTGATATACATCCATAATTTCTTGCTGTTTCAACTTTCGAATTCTCAGTTTTTCGAAATTTTAGTTTGGGGACTTTTCAGTTTACTCCTATTTATTATTTAATTTTTAATTTCTCAATTTTTCAAGTTCTCGGTTTTCAGTTTTTCTCTTCAATTTTACGATTTTTAAATATTTCCATTTTTCAATTTTAGACTTTTATAAACTCTTTATTTGTCGATTTTTCAATTAATTGATTTTTCAGGTTTTTTGGTTTTTCAATTTTTCTATTTTTTCAGGTTTCGATTTTTCAACTTCACTTTTTTGATTTTTCGATTTCTCAATTTTTCAATTTTTTAATTTCTCAGTTTTTCGACATTTCAGTTTTAGAATTTTTCAGTTCACTTATTATTCAATTTTTCGATCTTACGATTAAGCAGATTTTTGATTTTTCAATTTTTCGATTCTTTAGATTCTCAGTTTTTGGATATTTCAGTTTTGGGATTTTTCAGTTTTTTGATTCGTCAGTTTTTCTTTCATTTTTCAGTTTTTCGATATTTCAGTTCTTCGACTTTCCATTTTTGACTTCTGGATTTTTCGATGTGTCGACTTTTTACTTTTTCGATTTTTAAATTTTAGATTTCTCAATTTTTTTGAATTTTAGTTTTTCAATATTTAAAATTTTAGATTTTTCTGTTTTTCGATTTTTCATTTTAGCTCTTCCATATTTCAATTTTTCAAATGTTTCGATTTCTTAATCTTTCGATTTTTCGACTTTCCGGTTTCTGTTTTTCAATTGTCGTTTTTTCAAATTTTCGATTTTTCAATTAATCGATGTTTTGATTTTCCCATTTCTTGACTTTCGAGGGTTTCGATATTCCTGCTCAATTCTTTAATTTTTCGATTTTTAAAGTTTTTGATTTTTCATTTTTTAGTTTTTTTAAGGTTTCGATTTTTCGACTTCACTTTATGGATTTTTCGATTGCTCAATTTTTTGACTTTTTAGGTTCTCAGTTTTTGGATATTTCAGTTTTCGGATATTTCAGGTTTTCCCATTTTTCAGTTTTTCGATATCTCAGTTTTGGGATTTTTCAATATTTTGATTCTTCGACCTTTCGATTTTTGACTCCTGGATTTTACGATGTGTCGATTTTTTTACTTTTTCGATTCTTCAATTTTTCGATTTTTAAATTTTAGATTTTTTAATTTTTAAAGTTTTAGATTTTTCGATTTCTCGATTTTTCATTTCAGTTCTGCGATATTTCAATTTTTCAAGTTTTCGAATTTTTCAAATGTTTTAATCTTTTGATTTTTCGACTACCCGGTTTTAGATTTTTTGTTTTTCAATTGTAATTTTGTCAAATTTTCGATTTTTTAATTTTTCAAATTTGACTTTTATAAACCCTCAATTTTTCGATTTTTCAATTAATCGATTTTTGATTTTCCCATTTCTTGACATTCGAGTGTTTCGATTTTCCTGTTCTTCAATTCTTTAATTTTTCGATTTTTCAGGTTTTTGATCTTTCAATTTTTCGATTTTTTAAGGTTTCGACTTCACTTTATGGATTTTTCGATTGCTCAATTTTTTGACTTTTTAAGTTCTCAGTTTTTGGATATTTCAGTTTTCGGATTTTTCAGGTTTTCCCATTTTTCAGTTTTTCTTTCATTTTTCAGTTTGTCGATATCGCAGTTTTGGTATTTTTAAATATTTTGATTCTTTCACTTTTCAATTTTTGACTCTGGATTTTTCGATGTGTCGACTTTTTTACTTTTTCGATTTTTCAATTTTTCGAGTTTTAAATTTTTTTTTTGATTTTTAAAATTTTTGATTTTTCGATTTCTCGATTTTTCATTTCAGTTCTTCGATATTTCAATTTTTCAAGTTTTCGAATTTTTCAAATGTTTCGATTTCTTAATCTTTTGATTTTTCGAATTCGCGGTTTTAGATTTTCTGTTTTTCACATGTCATTTTGTCAAATTTTCGATTTTTTAATTTTTCAAATTTGACTTTTATAAACTCCTAATTTTTAGATTTTTCCATTAATCGATGTTTTGATTTTCCCACTTCTTGACCTTCGAGTGTTTCGATTTTTCTGTTCTTCAATTCTTTAATTTTTTTATTTTTCAGGTTTTTGATTTTTCAATTTTTCGATTTTTTAAGGTTTCTATTTTTCGACTTAATTTTTTTGATTTTTCGATTTTTCAGTTTTTAGATATTTCAGTTTTAGGATTTTTCAATATTTCAATTCTTCGGTTTTTCTATTTTTGACTTCTGGATTTTTCGATGTGTTTTACTTTTTCGATTTTTCAATTTTTGGATTTTCAAATTTTAGATTGTTCAATCTTTTGATATTTTAGTTTTTCAATATTTCTTAGTCTTTCGATTTTTCGACCTCATGGTTTTAGGTGTTCTGTTTTTCAATTTTTCGATTTGTTAATTTTTCATTCCCGATTTTTCAGTTTTTCAATTTTTTATTTTGGCCTATTTCGGTTTCTCATTTTTACCAGTTTTCCATTTTTTCGTTTTTTTTTATTTTTCCGCTTTTCCAATTTTTCAACTTTTAACTTTTTGTTTGTCGATTTCTCTATTTTTCAATTTTTCGACTTCATCACTTTTCGATTTCTCGTTCTTTTGATCATTCAATCTCACAATTTTTCAATTTTTCGAATTTTAAGTTTTTTGATTTCTCGATTTATCGAGATTTAGATTTTCCGATATTTTGATTGTCAATTTATAAATCGTTCAATTTTTAACTTTTCGATTTTTCGATTTTGGCCTATTTCTGTTTCTCAATTCTTCGACTTTTCGACTCCATGATTTCTTGATCTTTTGATTTTTCGATTTCTCGGTTTTTCGATTTTCCAGTTTTTCGATGTTTCGATCTTTCAGTTATCCGACTTTTTAAATTTGGGAGTTTCGATTTCTCAATTTTTCGTTATTCGATTTTTAAATTTTAGATTTTTGAATTTTACATTTTTTCGATTTTCTGATGTTTCATTTTTCGATTTTCAGTTCTTCGATCTTTCGATTTTTCAATGTTTCGTTTTTACGATTTTTTAAGGTTTCGATTTTTCGATTATTAGATTTCTCGATTTTTCAAATTTTCGATTATTTTAATTTTTCATTTTTTTTTCTCACTGTCACTATCATACAGTGTATTGAAAACAACTACAAAAATTGTCACTAAAAACATTTAAAAATTCATACAAAATAGAACACAGTGTTTCCAAAACATTTTCCCGAAAAAAATCCATTGGGTTATTACGATTTCAACAATATTCTTATTAGTTTAAGACGTTTTGCTAGTATAAAACACAAATAAAGAATTAATTCTTAGTTGAACAAAATATGTAAAATCATCTAAATATAGTGTAAACCAACCAAGTTGCTTCTGAACGCTTAGAGTCGATAATGGCCTGAGCGCGCTTTGGGCTGTAGATCAAACAAGTTCTCAGGCGACAAGTTGTAGTGAAACAACTTTTTTTATCGACTATTTAAATTTGGCGCTTGCCTTTGGCGGTTGAGGACTCCAATGTCAATAAGGGTGGTTTTGCAAAATCAGACTGTATG